GTGGATGTGACAAAAGTTTATAACCAGACGATTTAAAATAATGATGATGATCTTTGATAATCTAGGTGGGTCTGATTCAATCAGGTGCAAAAACAAACAAAAAAACCCAGTAGAACTGAGGTTCTCTAGAAGAAATTCTACTTACTGACACAGTCTCAACTACTATCAGAATTCCAGCCTGCCCTTCCCAAAGGCCTGCCCTGAAGACTCAAGCCTTCCCACTTCCTTGCAATGGTCTCCTGTTACATTCCCAACAGTTTCTAACAGGCACTTAGGCAGAGAGGATTAGAGGAGCCTCCCGCTAATGTAGGTGAGCCTATGAGAGTATCTATGCTTCCGATGTCATCCTGGTCCCAGGCCAGATGACCTAGCACAGCCTGGCACCCTTAGCTCCCAACTGGCGCAGAAGACAACTCTTAAGTCTTCCCAAGTTTAAATATGGCTGAGAAAAAGATAAGCGTTTAATGCTTAAGAAGGAGCAGAGTGAGTTATGAAAATGGGAGCCAAGGGGGCTGACTTATTCAACTATTACAACGCAACTGTAACCAGAAACCTGTGGAAGACAGACACGTGGGAATAAAGACCATAAATACACATGTAGATTACAAACTTAGTTCTTAGCCTGAAGAGTGCTGAAATGACTATAGCTAGCTGTGGTTTCTGCTATCAGCAGCCTTGGCAGGCAGGGATAGAGTTTATTTATACAGAATTTTGGTTTTGCACAGCTTAGCTGTTCACTGTGTTCCTCTTCCTGGAGGCAGTTTCTGCCTTTTATTGCTTTGGAGCCAGGATTCACCTGTGCTAACAGTTCCCTGTCCCTAGGTTCCAGGACTTGAGGACGAGTATGAAATCCAGACCTAGAAGATAGCGGCAAGGAATCCAGCTTGGGAACTGAAGCTTTAGACCTCAGTGACTACCAATGATCTACAAAGAATAAGAGACGGGTTCTGCCTAGTAACTCTCAGGAAAAGCAAAAAATACGACTGCTAACTATGGAAGGACGAGCTGCAAAGCGAGGATGGAACAAGATGACAGTATTCTAGACCTTCACCTTCCAGGGAGAACATACTCCAAATCAATCCTTCTACAGGCACATCATTTAGAGGCACGGTATGGAGTTATGCAGAAAAGAAAGGTCATTTGGTTTCTTGTCCCAAAGAAAACCAAGGTTAAAAAAAAAAAAGAGGGCATTCCCTGCTCTTTTAACTACAGATGTACCGTTATACTATTAAAATTATAAAATGTGTCACGCCCAGTTCTCCAATAAAAAGTAATTTCAAAGTGGATGGTAATACTGGGGAAAATATTTTGTTACCAACTCTGGGGCCCAGTAATATCCACCTCAAGTCATCCGTGTTTAATAAAACAGCTATCTCCAAGCAGAATGATTGCTAAATTACAAAAAAGAAACCAACAACCAACAAGCCTCAAAAGAGTCTATTAGTTTTCTAGTACTATTTCACAAATGATCATAGAACAGTTTAAAACACAAAGTTCTTACCTCATGGTTCTGAAAGTCAGCTGTTGATGATGTGACCAGAGTTCTGGCTCCAGTCTTAGAGGCAATCAAGGTGTCAGCTACTTTGTTCCTACTGAGAGTCTCTGAGGGGAATCCTTCAGGGTGCTGGCTAACTATTTTACACCTACACAGCATAGTGCCTGCTTCCCTGCAGGCTGTCAGAGTATGGTATGCACACTGAGCAGCCTCCTTCCAAGGCCATTTTGCCTGTGTAGTCACACTCCAGTTTTCCCTCAGCAACTACCTCTCTCACAGCAGAATGCTCCTGACACTGGCTCTTCTGCCAGGTAGATCCCAGCCCCTTTTAAAAGCTAACTTGATTAGGTTAAGGCCCAAGCTACTCTCCCTATTTGGACTACTGTGAGACCTTAATTATCTCGCAAAAGGTTTCATAGCCTACCTAGGACTCTAGATTAGTGATTGCACAACTCAGAGAAGGTATATGTACACCAGGAAGTGGGAATCTCAGTGGCATTTCAAAGCTGTGTTGTGCAGCAGACAAAACAAGATCATCATCTCTTCAATAGGAATGAATATTCTTTAAGTCAAAAAGCTTTAAGCACATGAATATTGAATGAAATGCTGGTGTTCCAGCACGAAGATGTAATGGACAGGTAAAGACTGAATATGTTTAATACTCCACCAGAAGTATATATTGTGAAATAATTAAACCCTGAAGTGAATTAGCACAGTCATCATCTGATATACTTGCTTCTGTGTTAAGAACTTTTGAGCTCTAATCTTAGCAAATTTCTTCTAAAAGGATGTTCTTCCTAAGATGGCTGCTATTCAGCCATAGTAAGTAAATATAGACACACAACATGCTCATTTCTAATTACAAAGTCTAAAAGCCAATTCCTAGAAATCTAAAACTTCATCTCTATCATATACTTAAGTAATTCATATATCTCATTACAATCAGCTTCATGATTTTTATTTATGTATTGTCAGTCATAGGGCTTGAACTCTGGGCCTGGGCGCTGTCCCTGATCTCTTCAGGTCAAGGCTAGTGCTCTTCCACTTTGAGCCACAGAGCCACTTCCAGTTTCCTTAGAGCTCAGCTCTCTGAGTAGGTAGGATTACAAATGTGAGCCACCGCTTCATGACTTAAAAAATTAAGAGTGGAACAGTGAACAACAAAGTTTCATATAGAATTAATGAAGCACTAACCCTTTAATGACAGAGGAAACTTGATGTATAGTTATTTGATAGTGAAAACGATTATTTTTATACTGTCAGTTATTCCCCAAAGTGAGTTAGAAAGATGTGCTTTAGAGAAAATATCCAGAAAGAAATGATTATAAAGACCATGGCCAGGCAACAATGGTATATCCCAGTAGCTTTGTTAATCAAAAGATTACCGTTAGGGAGGATTTAATATGTATCCCTTTCTGTGCATTTTTATTGTGCTTCCCTTTCAGTTAATTTCTAGGAGAAATTATAGGAGCAAAGTTAAATCACCTGTTTTGATCTTCTGTAAACCTTGGAAACATCGCTTATCCCTGGGTCCCACTGTCCATGTCTGTAAAATGAAGCCAGACATTTTAGAACTAAAATCTGTGCCAGTCTACTCTGCTCTAACGATCAACTCTTAAAAAAAGAGGAAATATTCCACTTAGAGAAATAGAATGCTTTAATGGATACAAAAGGGTATTCAAGTGCTTTGCTGGGGTGAGTTATCACTTTCAATGTTAGATTATTTTTACAGATGTTTGAGCATGTCCGAAAGCTCCTCATTCCTGCTTCTCAGTGTCATGCCACTGAATAGACTTTCCTCTGCTTTTGCTTATGTTGTTGAGTTTTCTATTTGCCTCAATGAAAAGATTTTCATTATCCTACCAAGTTACGGATGTCTTAGATATCCAGGTCTAATAGTGTACAAAAATCAATTCTGTTTTTCTTCTAATAATGTCTTGTCATCTTTTTGGCATTATCTACAAAAAAGGCAAGTTACAACAATAATGAACTTTCAATGTATTAAAATCACTGCAGTTTTAACATAAACTTAATGCAGTTCACATTTATAGAAAGGTTATATACTGATTTTTCACCACATTAAGTTTATAGGGGAACTTTCTATCCCTAGCACATTTAAAACTGAGGAGGTACAAGTAATTTCTGAATGAATAATGCAGAGGCCTCTTCGTTTAAGAGGTAAGTAGGAAAAATGGAAATAAGAAAAATAACAGAATGAAATACTATTTGAAGTCACACAACAATGTTCGCTATATAAAATGGCCTAGAAGAGATCCACGTCCTAATCCCTGAGCCTGTGGATGTGCTGCACAGACCAAAGAAAATGGAGGTTGCAGATGAAATAGATTGCTCTCAGTAGACCTGGCTATGGGGCCAGGAAGCGGGGTGGGAAGAGGAGAAGACAGGCAGGACTAGGAAGGACTGGGTGCAGTTTTGTTGCTTGAGAAGCTGGCATCGGGGTCCGGATAAGCCCAAACTTGAAAGCAGATTCTAGCAAAATGGCAGGACACAGAGCCTCCTCAACAGGCTCCAGAAAACAAGACAGCCTTACCAACACAAGGCCTGATTTCAGCCAAGGGAGCCCCATTTCAGAGAATACAGACTGTTGCTTTCAGACACAGTTTGTGGTAATTTGTTACAGCTGTCACAGGAAACTAATTCAGGGGCGCAGAATTGGTTTCAGCTGTGAGAAGGGCTCATGGCCATGGTATTTCACTGACATGAGAAAGGCCTGGGAGCAGGGAGGGAAGCTGCTGCCCACGGGGTAAACGCTTCTCTAAGGGAGGTCCCTCTGAGCAGCTCTGGGGGGAGCTGCCTTTTTCTTTTTCTTTCCCTTATTTTAATGTATCGTCTTAACAAGATCCCCAGATAATGTGCACTGATATAAAAGTCTGGGAGCCATTAGATTAAATTTATCAAAGATGATTTTTAGGATGTGAAGAAACTCCTGATCCTGCTAGGTGTCTGGAAAAGCTATTTACCACACCAAGAAAGAGCATAAAAGGCTGCTGTCAGCCGGGCGCCGGTGGCTCACGCCTGCAATCCTAGCTACTCAGGAGGCTGAGATCTGAGGATCGCGGTTCAAAGCCAGCCCGGGCAGGAGAGACCTCGAGACTCCTATCTCCAATAACCATCAGAAAAACCGGAAGTGGCGCGGTAGCTCAAGTGGTAGAGCGCTCGCATTGAGCTGAAGAGCTGAGGGACAGCGCCCAGGCCCAGAGTTCAAGCCCCACGGCCGGCCAAAAACAAAACAAAACAAAACAAAAGGCTGCTGTTAGTTACCATAGACAAAAGGTAAAAACTCACCATATTTATATGCTTTCCACAAGCTAGTCACCAAAATCCATTGGTCTCTACCTGCAAAAGTTTCCTTCTTTGTTAATTCCCATGAGTTAAAAGTGCAAATGTCAAATTTTTATTACCTGTGAATATGTATGAGAATCCCTCTACTACTAACTCATAAATCCACTTTGTAGGGAGACAAAATAATTTCATTCACACAATATATTTTCTTCATCTTTAATTACTTTAATATAAAAGACAGAAATGTTCCACATTTCACACAGTATTTAAAAAAAGTTTTTAAACACTCGTATTAATGAAAATAAATTTATTGACGAGTAACAATGACCACAAAATTAGTACTACCAAATCATTCCTGATGCCTGTTGCACTGACAATAATTTCAAGAGTAAGTTGGAGAAATATGGAACGGAATATGAACATTTTGAAACTACATGTTTCACCCATGTCGCTGCTAAATCTTGTGCTATCTAACAGATGTACTCCAAATTATTGTAAAGACATTCAGCTACAGTTCTCCACCAAGGGAGGAGCCACACAGCATGACATTTCCATAATCTTTTAAAGGAATTAATAAGCAATGGAAAGGGGTGGCACTATACTTATGAATTTATATGCTGAATTGAAATCTCTTTTCAGAACTACTTAAAGATAATAAAAATAAGCACAACTTAATGAATTTTTCTAGGTTAAAGAAAGCCAGCTAAAAAACTAGTAATAGTTAGAGATGCTGACCAGAGTAAGAAAATCAGTATAATCAAGAAAGATATGTAATTATTTAACATGATTTGATATAGTTAGATCAATGCAACTCACTGAATACGTAACTCAACAACACTTTGAGACAAGCAGGAACACGGCCCATCGTCCTGTTCCTATTTCCTGTACAATGCTTAACCTGTAAATTCAAGCACTGAGTCTATATTAATACTAACATACATCTTACAGTGATATAAAAGTCAAATCATTATTAGTAGATCTATTCTTCTTTGAAGTGCACAATTTTAGAAAACTTCACCAGACTGTGCACTTTCGAAGGGTACGGTCAGTGTGTACGGTATAGACAAAACAGGCACCTCCAATTAATTGTTTTAATAAATAAAAGCCCATTAAGAAAAAAAAGAAGGTAAGCAGCACCTGAAGCTTCTGACACTGGTAACTAAACGCTGGTACCCACATGATCTAGCCAGGAAAGTATTACTAGAGAGCTGCAAAAAAAGGAGCCATTTTTGACATAACATTTTAATTCTAGTAGAGACAGAGCTTGTCTGGGCTTAGTCCTGTTGCCCATCCTTCCAATGTCCTCCTATACTTTGGAAAGCAGACCAGACTCTGGAGCACTTGCCTTAATCAGATTCTGAATTTCCTTGAATTTTGGATGATCTTTGTCAGCCACCAGCTGTAGCAGAACAGCCTCACTTGTGGTCACTATGATCCCAGTTCTGGCAAGACGCTATAGAAGAAAAGATAAACAAAGACAACCAAGAAGTGAGCGCAAGAGAAGAAACACCATTTAAAATTGGCAAAGGTGTGCCAAGATACAAGAAACAGGAGTCAGCTGCTATCACCGTGGTCCTCAGATCACCAAATTCAGTGATAGGGGAGTTTGTCAAAGTTAACTATATTATACATAATCTCATTTGGTTTTCGTAGATATTAGCCAAATGGAGTAGAAACAAGTAGAAAGCAAGCAAGCTGCAGTGGAGGGCAGAAGGGCAGTCGAGACTAATGACTGTCAACCAGGAGATGAGAGAAGGGTGGGACATTTGTATACTTTTCGTCTCCGCTGTTTCCTTAGTACTCGTTAAAGATCTGTGCTCTACAGCTCATTCGCTCATTTGAAGGAGGGCTGCTTTTGATTTCTAAATGTATTAATCTCCTATGATTTCACTTCGAGCCCTGACTGAGATAAAAAGAGGTATCCTTGTCCATATTTCCCTCACGCCGTGTAACAGAACCACAAGAGATGATGTGTATTAGTGCTTATGTCTGGCAGGCATCCTGAGCATTTGGTATCTACTTATTAAAAAAGAATCTGGTATGGCTACAATTATTACTGTCTTGAATATTTCACTGCTAATTTATCATCCCATTACATGTAACATTTTAATAGCATTGAGACTACTGTATGTATTAAAATGAAGATTTTTCTTTTTTTTTCTTTTGTCAGGGACTGGGACTTGAACTTGGTATCTGATGATTTTGGCTCTCTACCACCTCGGTCACCCTTCTAAACCCTAGAATAAGGATTCTTAATTTCTTTTGTGTGTGTGTGTGTGTGTGTGTGTGTTTATTGTGAAAATACTGTACAGTGGGGCTACAATTACATGGGCAAGATAACGAATACATTTCTTATCAAGCATTGTTGTCTCCTCCTTTGTTTCCCCTTCCCAACCCTTCCCATAACCCCAACCCCCCCCTTAATTTCTTTTTGTCTGGCTACAACATCTGACGTAGAGCACATAAGCCCCTTCTACAACGTGCGTTTCCTTGTTTAATACTGACAAGGCAGGACAAGAAAAGTGCCTCCTGTGAAGTTGAAGGCTGTGTGTGCTCTGGCGATAATGGAGCCAACCGCCTTACAAATGTTCAGAACCATGCAACAAGAAGACACATTTTATGGCTGTGAAAAGCCAAATAAAGCCTTTGCCAAGCTTCTCCAGTGCAATCATAGAAACTAGGAAATCTAAGAGATTTCCTAGAGAAGGATAGCAAGGAACAGAAAATCTGATGGGGACATGGAAGGTGAAGGGAGAGAGGGAAAGAGAGGAGAATCCCGTATCAGAGGTCCATTTCTTAGCAAAAATACTGGGGGAAAGGGAGCAAACTTTCAGCTGTTGTTGTTTGGTTTTCTTGGTGGTACTGCGGTTTGAACGCAGGGCTTGTGCTTGCTAGGCAGGCACTCTACCATGTGATTAGACTCTTCAGGCCTGAGAGGGCAAAATGTTATTCCAAGAAGCATCCACTGTAAGCACCACGATGAGGAAGTGGTTAGAAACAATTCTTAGGCAAGTCAGAGAGCAGGTCCAGTTCATAGAGGAGAACACACTTGATTCGTGGGGCCTTTCCTATGAGGTAGAAAGAAATTTTCCTTGGGTGGCTGCCCACCCCAAACCCAGCCTTTCACTACCCCCAGGACACAGAAGCAAGTGTAAGCCATGGGCATACCTAGAAAGCCAGTTCTTTTCTCGATAGCCGGTAGAGGGGCAGTGCAGAGCAGCTGGAGTTGTAGAAGGAGGAAGGCAGTAGGAAGAAAACTGATCCACGTCCTTTATAAGGTGGAACGCTGGCGAATGTTTTAAAAAAATTTCTCAAAACTCAAATTTATTGGCCAAGCGCCGGTGGCTCACGCCTGAAATCCTAGCTATTCAGGAGGCTGAGATCTGAGGATTGTGGTTCAAAGCCAGCCTGGGCAGGAAAGTCTGTGAGACTCTTATCTCCAATAAACCACCAGAAAACCAGAAGTGGTGCTGTGGCTCAAGTGGTAGAGCTCTAACCTTGAGCTGAAGAGCTGAGGGACAGCGCGCAGGCCCAGAGTTCAAGCCTCACAACAAAATAAAATAAAATAATAAAAATAATTGCTTGAGTTTAGATAGCTGATTTTCATACCTTTGGTCAAAACCTCATGTGCTTATTACTTCAGATAGAAAGGCAGGAGATACAGAGTCAGTGTGGGCCGTGATGAGAACAGCTCTGGATGTACATTTACTTAAACCTGGTTCTCCTCTCTGCCATTCCTGTATTCTTTCCTCTTCTCAATGAGTAGAGCACTTTTAAGGATTCAGCCTAACTCAGAATCACAGAATCTCAGTGTCTACAAAAGTGTTATTTTATATAGTGTGACACATCAGCAAAGTTTAATTTTTCACTCATCTTTCTAGTTTCTGAATGAGGCAGAAAGGGGAAAAAAAATCCTCTCAGAACTGAGGAAGAAAACTTGAGACCTAACGGTCTGTAACTTTTTCTGATGCTCTACTGCCCAGGGCCTGGTCAATGTACCCTAACAGTCTTCTGAGAGGCTGAGAGGTAAGTCACTGGAGCAGGCTAGGATGCTCACGTTTCAGGTTTAGATCTGGGCAAGCTGACCTCCACAATGTTAATTAGCTCCAAGTCTGAGATGTGGCCAACATGGATTAGTTGTTTCTAAAATAATCTAGTCATGAAACTTGTTAGGGGAGGGTGTGGCCTAGCAGAACTCAGCCTTTTGAACGGGCTCCTACACCTCTGCATTGGATCTGCCCTCTCTAACCTGACCGGTGCCTGATCAGGCAGAGAACAGTAGCAACTTTTTCTCACCTGGCAGGTTCCTGCCTGCCTTCTGACCATACCTGGTCCAATGCCTACTTGTCTCCTGAATTAAAAAAAGAATTAAGCCAGGTGCTGGTGGCTCATAATCCCAGCTACTCAGAGGCTGAGATCTGAGGATAGCAGTTCAAAGTTAGAAGGAACAAGAAAAGTCTTTGAGATGTTTATCTCCAGCTAACCACCAAAAAGCCAGAAGTTGAGTTATGGCTCAAGTAGTAGAGTTCTAGCTTTTGACTATTTAACAAATGCAAATACATGTTCTTTCTTCCCCTTAGGATCTTTCAGAACTAGTCCCTTCTGGATCTTAAGAGTTCCAATGTTTATGCATTTCTGATAACCTCTTCATACAACTACTTATGATTAATTTAAGAGAAACGTTTGAAAAAGAAAAAAAAAAGCTAACCTTATGAAAACAATAAAAGAAAAAAAAGCAGCAGCCAGCATTTGAACGTGTACTGTGCTGGATCTTCTCTGCTACTAGGAACATGTGATCTCATTTAATCCTCACCATAATGCTACACCATAGCAGTCACTATTCCCACCTTACAAATGAGAAATTAGAATGGAGATCGCCTGGCTTGTTCAAGGACACTCAAAACCAAATGACTGTCCCACCGTTTGGACTCTTAAAATCAGTAATAAAGAATGTGGTCTGGATGGTGATTAACTGGCTTTTTAAATTCTGGCAAAATGGAATAGCCAACGGTCAAAATTTCCTGTGATAAATGCCATAAAAAAGCCATAACTAAGAAATACATAAATGTGGGAGAAAAGACCTTGACCCGCTTTGCAGACAAGGGAGGCTTTGTTGGTAGCAAATGGTTTTTTACTTCCCTGAAAAATACTTCAGTGTCTGGGCCCCAAGCATAAAAATACGTTTTCAGTTAATCCAACACTCCTAATGGACTTGAAAATAGTTTAAAAAACAAACTAATTCCACCTGGAATTGTAGTATGGGCTTCAGGACCTACAGATGGCTGACCAGTGTCTTAAAACTACCATGCCAGCTGAGGCCTGCTGCCCCATCCGCCCTCTCTGCGGCCTTTACTCTTCCTCCTGTCCTCTGTCCAGCCTCTCCTGTGTCATCTGCTCCTCTTTACCATTCTGGAGAACACTTCAGGCTACAGAGCTGATTTAGCAATCCTGAGCACAGAGCACAGCTTATAGACAGCTTGTACATGGAATACTGGAGAAGCTAAAAAAAAAAAAGTCTATTTCTCATTCTCAACAAGCAGAAACAACTCACCAATTAAATCAACATGTATATTACTCTAAATGTGTTACAGAATTAGAATTAAATGTGAAAGCTAGACACACCCAAATATACTGGACTAAGTTTCCCAGGATTCTATGGTAGTTCTAACAGTCTTGGAATGGAAAGTGCTTCAGGTACTATTGAGAATGAATCACAGATTATCTGACTCAGTGTGACATGGTGAAGCTCTAGCTCTACAGTCATGAAACACTGCCCGAGTGGTGTCCACAATAATCTCACAAATTCAGGTCTGGTCAAATCTGGTCAAACATAAAGCTGAACCAGGCTTATGGCTTTTCTGCCCTAGTTTTTAGCTACCTCTTAAACCCAAGTGAACTTTGTATACTTCGAACAGTTCAGATTAGGCTTCCAAAAAAAAAAAATCTCTTACTCTTCATTTAATTAGAGTCAAGTTACAACAAAACCTGTAAGATAATTTTTGGTATAACCAGAAACTTAGCTTTAGGAGGAAAACAAAATATAAGAATAGGATATGCGGTGAGACCTTGACAGTCGTTCAGGGCAAAAAGACATCTAGAAATGAATGAGTCTCACACTGTCAGATCAAGCTGAAACACAAAAAATAAATGTCTCAGCACTGCTTAGCATTCAATACTTGTGATTTTTGTTGAGCCTGTGGATTGGCCGTGTCCACGCAGGACACTTACCTCCAGAGCAAACATCCTGTCCATCATGCTTCTTGAGGAGGTGGCATCAGCAACAATGTGGACCTCGACTCCTCGGCCAACCAGCTCCAGAGCCGTTTGCTGGATGCATACGTGAGTCTTACAGGAAGGTGAAAGATCATGTATTTTACAAATGTACAACAGGGTAAGGCAGAGAGAGCAATGCAGATCTAACAACCCTCTCTACAACTTGACTTGCCTCCAATTAGCTAACTGAGTTTGAGCATAAATCAGTTTCTCTGGCTTTGGTTTATTCATCTGGAAACCAGGAATTTGATTACATCCATGTTCCTCATTTTTTTTTAACACATTCTAAATGGTTTTGTGGCAATTGATAATGATTTCTGTCTATGCCCTCTGAATGACCTTCATTTAGCTGACTACTCTGAGTTTGGGTGCCAGATCTACTTGGGGGTGATTTTTGCATGAATACCAAAGCCCAATGCACAAAAACAGAGGAGTCTGAATTAGAGAGTGAGAAAGATACAAGGCACCCAGTATCATGGCAGGCCAAGCTAGAACAACTTAACCACAGAGGTAAATGAGAAGTCCTATGTAAATGCCTGTTAATTTTTAAGTACTCTGTAAATATATAACATGGAAAGCAGAAAGATCACTACAAATCTAACACAGCTTGTTTTGGTTTAGTCAGCATAGAGAACTTTGGTATGGTCATCTAAAATCAAGAATAGGTATATACTCAATATAATAATACTGAATTATTAATAGTGTTGTTATGTTAATAGTTACTTGGACTCCCTCTTTATGACTACTAACTTATAACAATTCATTAGTAGGGAATATAAAATATAAACACACTTCTATAATAGCTAAATTATACAACCAACAAAAGCAGATTTCAAAACTGCCACAGTGCCTACTTTATCTTCAGATGTCAAAAGAGCTTTGGAGAATTACCAGATGATACCTCATTAAAATTAGCACCAGAGGACTGCTCACAGAGAGTAGATAAATAAATCAGCTGAAATCAGCACTATTAACTTTAACTGTTTGTGTATACAATTCATACTTGATGAATAATGAATTATATGTCCCTCTAGAGTTTTCCTACAAGAAACTTGTAACTAAAGTGAAATCTTATGACACATAAATAAAAATGCCTTTGGCAGTGACAATATGTTCCAAAACAATTTAATTCATAAGACTCTGGGTAAGTTCAAATCCAGCTCAATTGCTTACTAGCTGTCTGACCATGGCCAAGCTACACAGTACATGTGTATTTTAATTTCCCCATTTATAATATTAGGACACTATGGATACTCAGCTTATAGGGTTTTTGTAAGGGTTCACTGAGTTGGTATCTATAAAGTATTTACATCAGTACCATGCATGTTATCAACACCAATAAAGGTAGCCATTCCGTAATTACTTATCTCCCTACCTACCTGGCATTCTATGTACAAAACTGCATTCTGAAAACACCAAGTTTTCCACAAGTAGTATTATGCTCAAAACTTAAAGAGTAGGTACTTACTTCTACTCCAAATAATACCACACTTCTGACTCCAGGTATCTCTGCTAACGCTGCCTCTACTTCTGGTAACACCATTGAAAACTTGGTCTTTGGAAGAACCAGTTTTACACCTGTTAAGTCAATTTCTTGAACAGTACTTCCAAGACCTTTGGGGTATTGCTCTGTTACAATAACTGGAATTCCTAAAATCCGGGCTCCTTGCAACTGAAATAAAGAAAGCAAACCAAAAACAATTATCCATATACTGAATACATATGTGATTATGTATCATGCGCAGCAAATCGGAACAAATAGCCAAGCATACCAGCCTTTGTCCCACGCTGATGATATCACCAAAATACTTGATGGCTGGTCTGAACCTTTCCTGCATATCACAGCAAAAGAACACAGTGCTTGAAGGTGTAAGATTTCCCAGGGTGGTAAGCTGAGGAGAAACAGACAATACAGGGAGTTAGGTGTTGATAATTATACCAGGACGTTTACTTCCTGTCTTCCTATGTTTGACCCAGGAAGTCAATTTCTACAACTATCACTAAAAGAAATGATCTGAATTATAGAAAAAAAAATACCCACAGATATTCTCTTGCCTTGCCTTGAATACAGGAAGTTAAATTTTAACAAAATCAGAATAACATCTTTATTCTTTTTTTGGGGGGGGGGATCCAGTCGTGGGGTCTGAACTCTGGGCCTGGGCACTGTCCCTCAGCTCTTCAGCTCAAGGCTAGCACTCTACCACTTGAGCCACAGCGCCACTTCCGGCTTTTTTCTTTTTTGCTTATGTGGTATTGAGCAATCGAACCCAGGGCCTCATGCATGCAAGGCAAGCGCTCTACCACTGAGCCACCTTCCCAGCCCATACTCTTAAATGTTAGTTATCACCATCAAGAAAATCCATGAATTAAGAGGGAAGGTGGGCATTAGATCTCTAAGCTTCTGATTAGTTGCTGTAGTTTGCCTATTTGAGTCCAGTAGGGAATCTACCAAAAAGCAAACATGACTACTGAATATAAGAACTTAGCAGGATTTATAAAAATTTATAAGAATTTTATAGATTCTTATAAATCCACAGTGCTTTTCTGGCCACCTTGCAGAAAGCTCTTAAAGGACCCAATGCCATTATTCACTAGTCTTCCTTTAAAATATCCTGCTCATTCTCCTGTTTGTACCCCTCAAAGCCACCTACAGATGAACAATTTTCTTAAGGAGTCTGTGTCCCAATTACAGGGTGTTTTACTCACCACAGCTTTTGGCTCTGTCTTGTTATCTGTATGTGGCTGGCTTGTGGAAAGAGCTCCTATATGAATTAAATGAACCATGGAAACAAGCCTTTGATTCTTACTGTGGTGGCTGTTCTAATCAGCTCATACTTAATTTTCCCTGTGCTCTGGTCGGAGAGACTCTAGCACTTTACTCTCCAGCTGTTACTGACTCGGTAACCAGGTACAATCCAACTTTAGAATGTGAGTCATCTCTCAAGCTAATGCTATGTACTGACAAAATGAATACTCAAGCACCTGTGATTATGCATTCTAGCGTCAGCTGTCCCCTCACTCCATTTTCTAGTGCAAGAGTTATGCCTCCATCTTGATCATTTTCCAAAGCATTAACGGATCTACATATAAAAGCACGACCAAGATAATCAAGTTTTCATATGATTAGGGTATATTATTTAACCAGTCATTACTTGTGACTATGCATTCCAACAGCAAACATTAAAGCTGGGCTCAGATCTGTATGTTCTCTTTGAACCATGGGTATAGTCATTCCCAATGTGATTAGGACACACTATATAAAACAGTTTAGATGAAACTGGCCCGCTTGAAAGCACAGTAATAGAACTCATTCGGGCCTGTCATTCTACCTGCCATCGGTTACATGAATGTGCCGGGGCCAGGCACTGACATGTAGGCTAGAACTGCAGTTCTCAGGCATGGTCTGCATTGCCTGACTCTGCATACATCCCTAAAAAGTGGTTCCGTAGCTAGCCATTCGAAATTCCAGCTATTCAGGATGGTCAAAATACTGTTAGCAAACTTAAAGGAATAAATTCTTACCTAGCCAGGACCTCTGAGTAATTATTCAGAGTTGTGGCTCGGCCTGTAACTCGATGCTTTCTTGTACTTGGCTTTAGCTAGCTAGGCAGGTCTCCATATCAGTTCATCAATGCAGCCCTAAAATCCTCAGCACCCAGCAAAACCTTTCTGGTCTAGGGAGTCATCATCTATAATCTCTGAGTAAATACAGAAGGAAACCAGAGAGCAGAATGGCAAGTTGTGTTTTTATGCAGAGATGACCAGTTATAACTCTGTAAATCAAACATATTCTATCTTACAGAGACATTCTCTGTACTTCTTCTTTTTTTTTTTTTTTGGTCGGTCATGGGACTTGAACTCTGGGCCTGGGCACTGTCCCTCAGCTCTTCAGCTCAAGGCGAGTGCTCTACCACTTGAGCTTTAGCACCATTTCCGATTTTCTAGTGGTTTATTGGAGATAGGAGTCTCATGGTCTTTCCTGCTCAGGCTGGCTTTGAACTGCGATCCTCAGATCTCAGCCTCCTGAGTAGCTAGGATTACAGGTGTGAGCCACTGGCGCCCGGCCTCTGTACTTCTTAAAACATAGCTGCATTTGGTAAATAGCTGAAGAACGAGTATAAAGAGAGGAGAGTAATTTTATCCTACACACAGGAGAAACCTAACAAGCTGATACTGACTACTGTAGTTAATAGAACCATCGTGATAAGACAAATGTATACTTAATGATGTGATTAAAAGGACCTTCTCCTTCTCCCTCTGAACATCTCACAAGCCTACTCTACCCGTGAGGAAAGAATCAAACACCCCAAAACATCTGACCAGTTCTGCTCAAACCGTCAAAGAGTCATGAAAAACAATGAAAGTGAAGGAAAATGTTACAGCCCAGAAGAACTGGAGGAGGAGCAGCCACTAAAGCTATACACTATCTGATACTGGATGTGAGACAGAAAAAAGACATCGGGAAAAGCTCCTAAAATCCAAATAAAGTGGAGTCTATTTAATAGCCATGGACCGATGCTGGGTACATGGCTGCACACATGCACACAGTAAAGTAAGACAGTAACCAGAGAGGAATCTGGCTACAGGAGAACAGAGTCTGGATGCCGTATTATAAGTCTAAAAGTGTTCTAAAATACACTACTGAAATAAACTATCTAAAATGAGAATTGTGGCCTTCATATCCTACAGTGATTAGAAGAAATGATGTGGCTTTATGAATAATCTTACAAGCCAGAAAGGAAGTTGGGGGCTATCAAAATCAAACCAAAAAAATCCAAACTCTGTCCATCCAATCTTCTATTCCTCACCTCAAGTTCACTTGAATTCCAATAGGCTGTTGTAACTATTTACAACTCTATGTAATTCCAGAACTTCTTCCTTTGATCTATGAATTTTCCTTAAATCGAAATCTATTAGGTAACTGAAAATACTGACAGCAGTCAAATGCTACATGTTGTAACTCTGAGATAATGGCTCCTGCCACAACAAAAGCAGACTTGACTAACTACTGTCCCAAGTAGAAGTGTGGGTAATGTAATGACCAGCCAAAGTATATTCCAGAAACATGAAGAAATCACATACAAAAATATGCGTGCATGTATATCCATGCTCTCATGTGATGTATTATATATTTTCATATGCATACATATAAATACTGCATTTAAATACACATACATTTAAATAGAAAAGGCTGATCACATTTAATAGCTTCCTCAAAGTTTGAGACCAAATTCAAGTATAAATTCTTTAGAATTTTCATCTTATCTTTGATTTCATATTTAATAGGCTTTTCTTCCCCAAGGCCCTTACTATTATTACCTTGAAAATATTTAACTTTCTTTTCTTTTCTTTCCTTCTTTTTCCCCAGTCCTGGGATTGGGGTTTGAACTGAGGACCTCCTGATCCATAGGTAGTTGCTTACCACACTTCCAACTATTTATTGTGCTGGTTATTTCTGAGAAAGTGTCTTCCCTCCTGTCCAGGCATATGCATGTAGCTAGGATGACAGGTGTGCACCAGGGTGCCAAGCTTCTACTGAGACAAATTCTTTGGGTCTTTTTTATCCAGGAATGACCAGGAGTCCTTCCTGTCTCAGCTGCCCATGTAACTAGGATTGCAAGTGTGAGCCACCTTCTGTGCTCTGACCACTTCCCAAAGATGACTGCAAAAATAAAATGAATCTGTCCCTTACTCAGGAAGACACAGTGTAGCTGGTCTAACTCAATGACGTATTTGATACCAGTTCTCACCCTCCACAAAATTAAATGCAAGGTGGGGCTGGGAAGGTGGCTCAGTGGTAGAGCACTTGCCTTGCATGCATGAGGCCCTGGGTTCGATTCCTCAGCACCACATAAGCAAAAAGAAAAAAGCCGGAAGTGGCTCTGTGGCTCAAGTGGTAGAGTGCTAGCCTTGAGCTGAAGAGCTGAGGGATAGTGCCCAGGCCCAGAGTTCAGGCCCCACGACCGGACCCCCCCCCCTCCAAAAAAAATTAAATGCAAGGAAAGTGTCATAGTGTAGAAATGGTGTTCCCCAAAATTCATACACTAATGTCCTACTTCCTAGTACCTAACAAAACAACCTTTGATAGAAATAACATCTCTGCAGTAAGGTTAAGGTTACTTAAGATTGTATGACCAATGTCCTTATAGAAAGGGGAATTTCAGTGAGAGACACACACATACTTGAAGGTGGAGATGGGTGGTGTGTCTGCAAGCCAAGGAATGCCAAAGACTACCAAAAACCACAAATGAGAGAGAAACAAGAAGCAGATTTTCCTCATAGTCCTCAGAAGAAACAAAACCTGCTGACACCCTGACACCTTGATCTTAAACTCTTGTCTCCAGAACTACCAATGTGATTTCCACAGCTATAGGAAGGTCTTGCTTCAGCACCGACTAATTTAAAAGAGGCATGATGTAAACGAGCCAACAAGGGTTCCTGACACATGAACCCATAAGAATTAGAATCTGAGTCCAAATTTCAAATTCCCTTATCTTAGTTATGTGAATTTAACATCTCTAAATGCAATTCCCCTATCTATGAAACAGTAAGTAAACAGTACTTATGCCTCACAGGGCTATTTCAATGATGAAACAAGCCACATATATACAGTCCAGCAATAAATATGTTAGCCTGTCATGATATCCTATGAAATACTACACTCTACATTCAGCAGTTTGTATTTTAAAAAACTTTCTAGTGTGGTTAACTAATATTCCTTGAGAAACTGATGTGACACATGTACACATATACATACATACATACACACCCCAATACTGCTCAAACTTAAGTTAACATCCAGCAAAATTAGAAAAGTGATTCATAAAGTGAATTTCCAGACATGGACAAAAAGAGTTACCATTATATGATTCGGTCCTAGCCAAATCTTTTTGGGCCTCTCAGTTTCATCTAGATTCTAGAAGATTTCACTAATTTTTGTAATACATTCACCTACCGCAAACACTGATGGCACAGGCTTCTAATGACTCCCTAGTTTGCTGGTTAAAATCTGAGCTCACTCCTCAGAGTTAGAGAAGCAGCTGTCTATACCCCACCATGGAGTTTAAGCTCAGGCTGCCGATGGGAAGGATGTGAAGTCGGACTGAGCGCAAAACACAGTGACATTTAAATCTACATTCGGATTCCTCTTGCCTAAGTGAAAGGAAAAAAATGGAGGCCATACCTTCCCTGCTCAAACAGTTTATTTATTGGTAACCTCTAATATATTCCCAAGGAACAAACAGCATACAATGGTTATCCTGGAATTATCCTGGAATGTTAGATTTTAAGTGACCCCCCCTACCAGAATCAAACTCATAGGTTAGAGACCATGCCACGCCTTGGGTCCAGTTTCTCAGTGGCTAAGAGTACCTTATCTCCAGATGTGTACTGCCTGTCTCTCCACCCCAATTTCTGAGCTATAACTCTTCATCCTTCTAAGCTCCTATGATCAAAACCCAGCAAGTCAAAGGCAGAGCAAACCCCTTTCTTTCTCCTTTCTAAGCAATGCCTTTCCTTCCTTCACATCATTCTAGCTCTTCGCTCCCAGTTGTAAAATGTCTGTGCCCAGTTAAAAAAACTTTCAAGATCATGAAAGCTCAATCCAAATCCCTTCTCAATTAACCAGCCTGGGTGAAGGTCAAAGTAACCTCTCAGGGAAGCCCACACAGAGCTCCTAATGCCCTCTCTTCCAAGAACTTCCCACGCCATCCTTCACCCGCTGTATTCTGCTTAGGCAAAGCCTTCCCAGGTCAAAAACAGGGAAAAAAATACACTAGTAAAGGAATGTCATCTGATTTACAAGAGTTTCCAGGGTTCCATGTTTCTATTAGCTAGAACTTGGGAAATGCCTTTTGAAAAATTAAAAATGTCTAAGTCTCAGGCTGGGAATGTGGTTTAGTGATAAAGTGTTTGCCTAGCATGCATGAAGCTCTGGGTTCCATTCCTTAGTACCACATAAACAAAAAGCCAGAAGTGGCCTGAGTTCAAGCCCCAGGATTGGCAAAAAAAAAAAAAAGTCCAAGTTTCATAAAATGACCTAAATTCTCACTATATAATCCTCTCATTTACATTCCCTCCTATGTCTCTAAATCCATCAGACTTCAAGCATGTGACAAAGCTGCTGCCTACACACAAACCATGCATGAAACACAAGCTATGTCTTCAGCTACCTGAGCCGTCAGTAGACAGCCACTCTGACAGAATATTTAAGGAAAAGATCCACCAGAGAGGAAGTTACCACCACCAACCCAGGTGCAGCATGGTGCAGCATTTCAAAGGTCAACTGCCGCAGCAGTCGCAGCAAGCATGAAGGTAGACTCAGACTCAGACCCCTAGAAAATGCGAGCACATTCCAGCAGAACTGTGCATGAGTCAAAGCCAAGAGGCTTCAGGGCCTACACTGTGGATAAATAATAAATCACACTATTTAAGCAGGAGACTCCTTATGGCAAGTTCTTTGTCCTGCTTTGAAGAGGCCTATATCCCCAGTATCCAAATAGCTACCTTGAGACATTCTGAGTGGCAGGTTTTAATTTTTTTAAAAAGCAGCATCAAGGGAGATGAACAAACAAAAGCTCAAATTTATGAATTGTTTTACAGATTGTTCAATATTCTCATTAGGCAATTACAGACTGTTCAATATTCTCATTAAAGTAAATAAATAAAAAGGAAAGAAAACAGGAATGCTACCACAGGGGTGAACTGCTAGCTCTATCCATGGAGCTGTTTTCTAGCCTCTCTCTCTCAATGCTCTGCTCTTCTGGGAAGTGAATTAGGATGACAAGGTAAGGGACAAGAACGGAATCCAGATTTGCATCCTCTGTGCCATGTACTTAAAGCTGCCACTTAAATGCCTGTGGAATGAACTCTACCATCTCTTCTAGCCATAAAATGTCACTGGAATTACACAGATGGGTTCCAGAAAACACAGTAGTCATAAAAAGAAATACTGTCTCTTCTAGGAGTAGATCCCCACACATATTTGTGTGTGTGTGTGTGTATGTGTGTGTGTGAGAGAGAGAGAGACAGACAGACAGACAGAGACAGAGACAGACAGAAAGAGCACTCATAAACATGAGAAGTTATCAAAGGTATCTATATTTGGCACTTGGTATATATATCTATGTATAGTATTCCTTTATATTATCTACTTAATTCTAGGAGAGGCACTTATTTGAAACAGTCAAAGCGTATGATTAGTAAAACAAGATGATGTAAAAATATTTTACATATTTCAAAAATATAAAGCATAACTATAGACCTGGTAAAGTTGTTCACACCTATAAGGCATAGGTAGGAGAGTTTTGGTCTCGGACCAGTCCCAGACAAAAAAAGCAGGAGACCCTCACCAGAAAAGTAACCTAACAGCAAAACAGACTGGAGGTGTAGCTTAGGTAGTAGCAAACACAAGACCTCGGCTCAAACTCTAATACCACCAAAAACTGTTCTTAAATAAACATATGTAACTGATGAGCTTCATAATTCCTGGCTATTTAATGGAAAATAACAGTTCTTAATGGGTGAAAAGAACAATGCTATTGTTATTTCAAATATAACTACAAAAACTGATTGTACATAAAATATTTCAAAAGCTTTAAGTGACCTGAGTTCTTTATTGCATTTTATGTCTAAGTCATTTCCAGCATATCCATTTACATGATTAACTTTCAAAGTGTTTAATTCAAGTTGTCAGACCTTAAAATTTTCAAAATATAAAAATCTTACCTTGGAAAGTGAAAAAAAAAAAACCCCAACAACTTAGGATGAGAGGAGCTAATTTAACATAGCACTGACTCAGGTGGGAGCTCATTGTTTCTTCCAAAGATATCGGGAAACACTTTACAAACTCTGGATCTTCAGAAGAGCTCCAGACCTTTGCAAAATATGCACACTGACCTTTGTAAATGGATTTGTCAAAATGCATCCAACATGGGGTTTTTGGCAGCAGTAATCTAAATAGACTGACAGGCCAGACTGTAGAGTGATGTCAGCCGTGAGACACACAAAGATATAAACATGAAGACTCCTGCCTGTAATCCCAGCAAACAGAGGAGGCAGAGGCAGGAAGGAAGGAAGTTCAAGGACAGCTGCATAGTGAGGGAGCGTCTCAAAACACAAGTAAACATACAGGGAATCCTAAGCACCAAAGATAGCGATTTTCTACGTAGGCAGCAGGGGAAATCCTGGGGTATCAGATCACTCTACCCTTTGGGCTCTTTCAGGGGACAGTGGAATGAACTTTGTCCTCTGAACCTAACTTTATCCAGGGTAAATGATCTGCCAGGGATGATGCCTGGCATAGGAACTGGGCGGACTGGAAACACCGCCCATTCCTCCTGCAACCAGGCTGATAAAAAACCTAGAGCGGGATCCTCAGAAAATGGCACTTGGTGGAAGAGGCCCTGATTTTAAACCTAAGTAAAGCAGAAAAAAGAGGAAGAAGAAAGAAATGGAAAAGAGAAAATGGCCCTTGACCTAAACTCCCTGCTGATCTCAAATCCCACATGGCGCTTTGGGCTTCCCAAGGTTTGTCTCAGCAGTGCGAGGGCTCAAGACCAACGCAGAGCGGGTCGCGGCTAAATGGCACCGTATATTCTTTTCTTCCGAAATTATAAATTCTCAAGCGAGTCCTCTGCTCTTCAGGAAGAGAATAGAATGCCTCCCCCAGTGATCAGCGCACCGCTCCCAACAACGTCAAGACGGATTGGGTAATGCGCAAGGCTAACTTTTGCCACGATCTAGCTCGAGCGGGGGGCTTAGCCGGCGCCCCCCGGGATGTCACGGACAGGGCTCGGCGGCTGGCCGGGGGCGAGGGGGCGGCTGGCTACTGGGTGCTTTCACTCGAGGCTCAGGATCCGGGAGGAGGAAAGGGTCGGCAAACTTTGCATCTTTCTGAGGTGGTGAACGCCAACTCCGGGGACGCGCGGGGCCGGGCTCCCCGGGTCGC